TATATATATATATATATAAAATATTTTATTTTAATAATTTTTCTTCTCTTTTAATTAATCTTTACTTTTTTCCGTGTTTTTTTATTATTAAACTTTTAAGAATCTACAGATCTTTATTGTTTTGAAAAAATATAATTTTTTTTTTTCTTTGTAACTCTCGGGTGAATCTGCATAGCAGTACCAGTACTACACAGTTTTAAGGGATCTAGGGAATTTTTCTTAAAGGAAGGAATTGATTATTTGAATAAAAAAATAACATGTTATGACCAGTTTAATTATGTACAATTTAACACCAAGTATAACACAATACTAAAAAGAACTTCCAAATTTACTACGAAAATACTGCAATCCACTCACTGAAAACAGAAAATAACATGGCCATTTTCGAAATTGGAATCGTCTGCTAACTCAAGTAATTTGCTAAAAGTAATTCAAAGTTTTGTTCTCAAATCTGTTCTTTTTTTCGTTCACCTCGCACACAAAATTACATGAATTTTAATAAACCTATTAAGTTGAAACTTGGTAACTGGTTTAAGTGTAGCATGTTGCTTAAATTCATTCTATGTTCATACTGTATTCAAGTGAGGAATATTGGTAAATATTTTACGTATTCTTTTCGCCAAATTTTTTCATAAAAATTTTAATTTTTTTTTAAAATTAAAAATATTTTTACTTGACTCTTGCGTGTAAAATGTCATTTAAATGGTAAAAGTTCTTTGCATTGTTCCACAAAGTATTTGTATTTTAATGTCTGTACTTATATTAAACTCCAGGAAAAAATTCAGATTCTTGAGAAAATTTTTACACATTTTATAGAAAGTCACAAAATGTTAATAATAATATTAATAATAAAACAAAAAAAACATACTATTTTGAATAACTTTTGGTTTAATGATTAGATCTTCACGTTCTGTGCCTCAATTAGTTTTCAATTAAGACTCTTAGTTTTAAATGTAACACGTTTTAAAATTCGATTTCTCATGAACGATACGACCATTTCGCTTGAATTTTGCATTTAGCCAAGTAAAATTACATTCTTTAAAATGATGTAAAAAATTGTATACCTAATAATACTCAATTTTTTTGCCTATTATTAAATAAAATGATAAAAAATAATAAAAATTTTACTGAAAGTTTTTTGAGTAGAAGAGAAAATTATCTTTAGATAAATGAGTCTTTAGATTAATCTTTAGATAATTTTATAATTCTGAGCAAAAGTTTTTCAATTAGTTCAAAAGTTCTCGAGACATGTCTAAATATGAAATTAATGTTGAGGGAGCCAAACTCTAGACCGCTCTGACGAAATTATTGGAACCCTATTTCCCAGATAGTGGTCATCTCCTATATTTTGGGGGTCAGATATCCGAATCCGTCGGAAAAAAAGTATGTTTATTTAGAGAAATTACGTTTTTTGTGACTGATTTTGAAATGTAAAATATCATCTGCCCCAATTAGTTAGCAGATTTAAGGTCACCCCTCCAAGCATAAAGATTACATCCTAGAACCTACAAAATCGATTATGAGATCAAAAATTATTCGGGATGGTAAGTTTATTATTTTATTTATTTTGTATTTATCTTTTTTATTTATTTATTTTTTTGCACACTGTACATTCATACTTTCTTGATGAAATCGGACTAACTAGAACTACCAATTTATGAAAAAAAGTAGAATTGATTTTATTTCAGAAATTTATTTCTGTAATTAACTGAAACAGATTGATAAGGAATCTGCTTAACTTTATTATGAGAAATCTCAATTTGTTTACAATTTTTCACCAAAGCTTAGAAAAAAAGCCCCTGGCTTTACTTTTCTTTCTAACTTTACAGTGAAGGTTCGCGATTTTTTTTTAAACATATAAATAAAAAAAATGTTGAAATGTAAATAATTCTTCTCTTAATAATGATTCAAAATGTTTCCTAAGCACAGGTTTATATTTCCTGAAAACTATTGATAGTTTTGATGTAAAAATCGGGTAAATTCCTTTTCTTTTCCTTCAGTTTTATTATCAAGCTATAAAATCGGAAATTTAGAAGTACATAATTTGCCTTTTTAATAAGCATTTGTGGATTAAGAAAGACTTATATAAATAAGTCTTTCTATCATAAATATTTAATGAATCTTTAAGTATTTAACAACTAAATAGCATCATAACTGTAGTATGTTTGGAATAAAATAAAAATTATGTTTTTTTGCTTTATTTTCGATTCATCGATGCAAACTTTTTTTTTCGGTTGAATTATCAATTACTTTGTTAGTAAATAACTTTTCTTTTCAATAAGTATTTATTTATTGATAAATCACCAATTACCAATTTTTGAACTATAAATTTTCATCAAATATTTGACTATTCAATAAATAGTCATCATAACACCTGTGTACCTCCAATTAAAATCTTTTTATACATATTCATACATTATGCATGCATAAACATAAGTTTTGGATAATACATATTTTTTATAATAAATTACTGTTTTAGGTTTAGAGCACTAAGAAAACCCCAATATACATTTTTGATGAACTACTTGTAACAATTTGTCCAATTCATGTCGAACTGGAGATATTTTTAGGATCATTTTAAATAATATGTTAAATTCATTGCAAGGTAAATTTTTTTGATAATTATTTCAAATACATTTTTGTTCTGTTCATCGACATGTCCGAAACGTAATTTTTTTTAAAAAAAAAACAAAAACATTTTTTAAAAATTGAAATAATTCAGCTATCAAATGAAAAAAATTTCATTTTTTGATATTCCAAACAAATCATTTTTTTAGAGATTATTCCTGCTTTTTTGGATGAATTCGGTTAAATTTAAAATACTTGATTCAGTTTTATTTAAATGCAATTAATTTCCAGAACTGCTCTAGTATTTCCTGAAAATATTATTTGAATCACATACCCGTTTTACATGTTTTACGAAATTAAACCCCTCTTATTCTGTGCTTGGATGATGTAAAAATTTTAGATACAGTTTTTAAAGTTCACCTGAAATTTTTAATGGTTATCTTAATGATTTTAACCTTTTTAAATATTGTTCTTTCAGAATTTTTTTTATTTCATGAATTAGTCCTCATACTCTTCAGACAAATCACAGTAGAGGATTTTTTTTCCTGAAACTGAAAAATTAGCTAAAGTACAATATTTGAGAATTGTCGTAGATATTCAGAACATCATAATTAAAAAGCACTTCAAATGAGAATTTTATAAATGGGCACGTGATAATGATGACTTCGGGTGAGATGCATTTTATTTTATTTTACAACCGTCGTTGAAGAGTCAACCCAATTTCATGGGTTTACAACTACTTACGTTCAACTCCGTAGCCTTGTAATTTTGAACCAATCCAGAAGACAAGGAAACTCCTGGATCAGTACCCCCAGGTTGATTTCTTGTGGGAACATGGAGGACTTTGAGACTCGACAGATTTAACGTGCATCAGTCACCATTTACTACACGGGGAGTCTACGGCCGGCGAGGATCGAACCCACGACCTCTTGGATATGGGCCCAGCGCCCTACCGACCAGGCTATCCCGGCCCAGGTGAGATGCATTGTATTTCTAAGGTCCCGAGCTAAATAAAAGTCCAAGAGTACACGTACATATACACGCAAGATAGTACATTTTCCAAGAGTACACGCACATATACACTCACAAGAGTACGTACTCCAAGAGTGCACGTACTAGTACAGTATTGAGTTCACGTGATCTTAAGCCGCT